CTGGATGTGTCTGAGACCAAAAAAAAAAAAAAAAAAAAAAAAAAAAAAGCCTCTTCCTCCGGCCTTGACTTTGAGAAAGCACGGAAGAGTCATCGTCCCATAGTGATGTCCAGAGTTTAGACCTGCAGAGGTCGGTGCAAGGCCAGAGAAGAAGGTGAAGAAAATCCCAGGAATTCAGGGGCTCCTCTGCCTCAAGCACAAGGACGGAGTCCTTGGGTCTTTATGAATAAGGGTTGGAAGCACAGGTAAAGATGCATGGGTGGGCAGCCAGCAGCAGCAGCAGCAGCGATCTGGAACCTCTGCTACACACCTCTAGGAGCCTCGCTGCCACTCACCACTAGATGGCACCAACAGAAAGCCAGACAGCCCTGAAGAGCCGCGGCTGCCCTTTCCGTCCTCCTGGAGTAGATGGTGAAGCTAAGCAGGAGCTCCAGTGGGTGGGCAAGGCCTGAGCCTGCCCCTGGCTACCCAGTAACACAGCTATTGAGGAGCAGTGTTGAAGGTGTCTTCCACATCAGAGCAGGGATGGCCAGCCAGCCTGTGGAGGGCACTGACTGAGAGCCTGCTTGCTTCTTTCCTTCCTTCCTTCCTTCCTTCCTTCCTTCCTTCCTTCCTTCCTTCCTTTCTTTCTTTCTTTTCCTTTGTTTTTTTTCAAGACAGGGTTTCTCTTTGTTGCCCTGGTTGTCCTGGAACTCCTCTGTAGACAGAGATCTGTCTGCCTCTGCCTCCCGAGTGCTGGGATTAAAAGCATGGTCCACCACCACCTGTCTGTGACTGAGAGTTTCCATCTGCTGACCCCAAGGACCTGCCTCCCTTTGAACATCTACAATGTACTAGGCCTTTAGTATGTGGAACATGGTACCATGGTCTCAGAAAATAGTAACTACGAGGCTGGGGCAATCGTTCAGTTGATAAAACGCTTGCCACATAAGCATCAGGGCTTTGGCTCAACCCCCAGAAGCTAAGTAGAGAAGTCAGGAGTGCTGGTGTGCACTATAATCCCAGTGCTGGGGAGACAGAAACCGGCAGACCCCTAGAGCTTGCTGGCCAGCTAGCCCAGCCTACCTGCAAAGTCCTTAGCCAATGAGAGAGCCTGTCTCAAAAAACAAGATGGATGGCTCCTGAGGGATGGCCTCTGAGGTTGTCCTCTGGCCTCCTCCACATGTACCGGCACACATGTGCACACACACATGCGCATACATACATGCGTAGGAGGAGGGCGTAGCGGGAAGAAAACAATAAGTAGGAATAAGAAGAATTGCTGATTGATGCCCACCTCCTGGGTGCCAGGCAGGGACTAACTCCTCCCAGGATATCATTTCATGGGACAATCCCAACACATGTGTGGTGCAGCCCTGCTTCACTCTCTGTTGATAACTGGGGAAACTGAGGCTTGGAACGTCTGCTTAACCACTGTGCCCACAGTCACACAAAGCAAGTTTGTTTTACCCCTGCATCTCCTGCTGTGGTGCCCCTGAAGACACTGCCCCTGAAGGGGAGGGCTGCCCATCAAAGAGGATCTGTAGCGCCTCAGCCTCACAGCATTCTCAAACAACCCAGACGGGACAGACTTAGGATCTCACGAAAGGAACTCCAGTTCTTGGGAGCCCTGAGAGCTCCCCAGCTCGGGGGCAGTTTAACTACAACATTCCTGACACAGAGAAAGCACCTGCTGAAAATTGGATCCATTCATTCAAACCAATTGTAACATGGGATCACGCTGGGACTCAGGATGAGAGACTGGAGCTTATGGGGACCCAGAGGAGTAGGTACTTCCTTCAGGGTAGTTAAGACTCCACAGGATGGTGGATTTTAGTCTTGGTCCTGCCTTCCTCATCATAGCTGTGTGACTTTGGGAAGAAAGCTGGTTAATATGAGCCTTGGTTTCTTCCCTACAATAGAAATAATAACTTGGGGCTGGGCATGTAGCTCAGGTTGGTGGGGTGCTTGCACAGAGCCCTGGGTTCAGTCTCTGGCACTGCACACACCAGTTGTGTTGGCTCATGCCTGTAATCCCAGCATTCAGGAGGCAGAGGCAGGAGGATTAGAACTTTAAGGCCATCCTCAACTACATAGTAAAGTTGAGGCCAGCCTAGGCTGCAAGAGACCCTGTCTCAAAACAGTGGTTTTCCGCCGGATCACTGTAAGGATCAGACAAGAATGCATATTAAAGTGCTTTGTGCCACGCCTTGGCAAAAGTGCATGTCCAACTAACGATAGCAGAAATTGGGATTGCTGTTATTAAAATGAGCTTTCGCCAGACGGTGGTGGCGCACGCCTTTAATCCCAGCACTCGGGAGGCAGAGCCAGGCAGATCTCTGTGAGTTCGAGGCCAGCCTGGGCTACCAAGTGAGTTCCAGGAAAGGCGCAAAGCTACACAGAGAAACCCTGGCTCGAAAAACCAAAAAAAAAAAAAAAAAAAAAATGAGCTTTCACCTGGACTTTCAGGGATGCTTTTGGAGTGTTCCTAAGTGGAAATTCGACATTATCAGGTGGGGATGAGGCGGGAACCATTGGAAGAATGCAGAGGCTTCTCTAGTCCATGTGCCCACCCCAGAACCTCAGCCAGGCCAGGAGGCTCTGATGGATGTGGGCCCAGATCCTGATCCAGGGAATCTAGATAGGCAGGAAGAGGCTTACAGACTCTTTTGCTGGCAAGAGCCCCCTAAGCGCGTCCCTCCAGGAGGTCCTGCCCCCTCTACCATGCTGTTTTCTCCTCCCTCCTGGGTAGGAATCCTTCTCCCAAGCCCTTATTTGCACAAATGCCTGGCTCACTGCTCACCCCAGCCAAGAGGGTCTATTTTAAGCTCCGGAGACAGG